TTAATATCTTAATATTATTAATTTTCTTGATGATCACAAAGTAACAAAAGTTGACTCGTTGTGTGTAGTCATGAAACATAAGATTAACTGCAGTGACTGATACAAGCAATGGCTCATTACCTTTTACTAACTCTATAATTTGCATGTTCTAACAGTCCTGTTGTTGGACTTCTTACTGTGGCTCGACGAAGCTGATTATAAGAAGGTCAATAACGCATATTAGTACCCAATCAGCATGTTTTGTTGGAGACACACGAATGTGATTGGTTCGATCTCCAAATGTTGACATGTGAACATGGTTGTATTATTGTTCTTGTTCTTGTTCAAATTATTTTTGCAAGCTAATTAAAACTTTGTCATGTGCAAAGCTCAGTTCAAATCTTTTAGCACTGAATTGTTAAATATGTCTTGGTAAATGGCCCATACAAGTTTGAACAACCACCAGCAGTTTCATTAAGGGCCAGGCACTGGGCAAATTGAGTGGCTTTTCATCGATAATTTATATAGTACTGTTGCTGTTCCCTCCTATTTTCTGAGGCAAACAATCTCCTAAAAAATTAAGCTTTTTTTCAGGTCATAGAAAACACGATTTTGCCGGTTATAGTACATGTTATCTCCTTTTGTCTTCAAATAGTGAAGCAAATTAGCCCAATGATGCATAATTTAGCAAAATTGGCCAAAAAAGTTATATACACCCTTTTTGCATGAAAGCCTTCAATTATTAACAACTTATCTTCCAAATAATATGCCAAAACATTAATAAGACAACAACATATTCATCAACTCCTGCAGATTTTTCAGTTGTCTAGTCTCAGAGATGCTATAAAGCTCAAAACNTGACTGATACAAGCAATGGCTCATTACCTTTTACTAACTCTATAATTTGCATGTTCTAACAGTCCTGTTGTTGGACTTCTTACTGTGGCTCGACGAAGCTGATTATAAGAAGGTCAATAATGCATATTAGTACCCAATCAGCATGTTTTGTTGGAGACACACGAATCTGATTGGTTCGATCTCCCATTGTTGTCATGTGAATATGGTTGTATTATTCTTCTTGTTCATGACAGAAGTCATCAAAATTATTTTTGCAAGCTGAAACTTTGTCATGTGCAAAGCTCAACTCAAATCTTTTAGCAATGAATTGTTAAATATGTCTTGCTAAATAGCCCATACAAGTTTGAACAATCACCAGGGGTTTCATTAACGGCCAGATTGACTGGCTTTTCATTGACAATTTACATTAAGTACTGTTGCTGTTCACTGCTATTTCCTGAGGCAAACAATCTCCTAAAAAATTAAGCTTTTTTTCAGGTCATAGAAAACACGATTTTGTTGGTTATAGTAAATGTTATCTCGTTTTTATCTTCAAATAATGAAGCAAATTAGCCCAATGATGCATAATTAAGCAAAATCGGCCCAAAAAGTTATATACACCCTTTTTGCACAAAAGCCTTCAATTATTAACAACATTAATAAGACGACAACATATTCATCAACTCCTGCAGATTTTTCAGT